GGAATGCCTCCCAAGGGACTCTGTCAACCAGGATCCTAAACAGGCCAAAGCCTGCTCTCCACAAGTCCAAGGTAGCAATTCTGCTGACCCTCCTCCTTACTTCTCCAAGAATTGAAAACTCTTATCATTTCATGATTGCTATGCCCAAGTTGGCCTCCAGATGTCACATCACCCACAAGTCCTTCTCTGTTTGCAAAGTCAGAAATCTCAGTGTCATGTCAATCCAAAGGAGGTATTTTTTTTTTTCGAGTCTTGTTCTCAGAATATTCCTTCTTAATGCTGAAATCATATGAAAAGAAAGTCTCAGCTCCTTTATGCTGTGAGTGAGGTCTGAAGGAACCTGTAAAACAGTCCCAATATATGTTCAGTTCACTTGAAGTCCTTTCTGTTATTAAGAGATATCTAAAACCTGAGGAGATGGATTTTATAATTGTTGAGATGAATGCACGTAAGACCATGTGCAATATTTTTTTGAATTTACTGTTTCTAATTATTTCAGCTCTAAAAAGGCCATTGTTTTCATATATTGTATTAGTCACTATGTATCAAGAAACGCAATTTGAAAAGAACCCCTTCTGAACAAAGTATACCAATTATGCTTCATTTTCCACTTTCCACTTTCCAATTTTAATTTTCTTGAAAATTAAATATAATTGCTTATAAACCCAGTGAAACTATTAGTCAGTTGTATTTCTCTGAAAATTGTATTTGTAGTGAATAGCACTGACATATCTGAAGAGTCTCATTACTGATAGCGTAGTTAGTTAAGGTTAATTCTAAGGTTATTGAAACTACATAAATGAGATTTAGCTAATGTGCAGGCTTTATAGAATATTTGAGCATTAGGCGGAGAAATTCTCCAGTTAGAGATTTAGGTGGATGTAAACTTTGATACGACCCAGTGGTAAACTACACGTTCTTAAGCAGCTTGAAGCCTTAGAAAGTACTTTTTGATTTCTAAGTAGCATTTGGTGTTTCAGAATTACTTCCATGACAGAGGTAGGTAAAGCTTATAATATAAGGAGTTCAATTCACATCTTAACAGGTAATTTCATTCTTAATATGGAAGCTTACTCTAATGTCAGTTCTGGAGAGCAGTCCAGCAGCTTAGTTAACTATTTCCCAGGCCTTCACCATAACGTGTTACTACTAGTCAGTTGAAAAGGAATGTGGACCCATGCAAATAGATTACTAAAACGTAACTACGCTTTTTCTTCTGTCTGTATTTGAAGTCTTCCTTTGGTTCTATGCGTCATAGGCATTCCTACGAAAATGTATAGGGTTGAGTGGGTGAGGCTCAGGAACTGATGTGTTTCTACAGGGTGGGGAGCAGGGAAAATCTTTAAAAGCACTAGATATTGCCCTGATTGATTGTTCTTGAGAGAAAACTTTAGTCCATTGCAGAAATAGTCAGAAGCTTGAACTGTTAGAGGTCCTGGATGAGTGTTTTAAAACCTGAGTCTTCATAAAACCACAAGGCGGGCAGGTAATTAGAGAGGGAGTCACTTATTTCTTTTGAAAGGATTCAGATATTTATAAATCTGGGAAGAGTCCAGAATTATACATTTCCTTGCCATTAAAATTTTCAAATAAATGACAGTTCCCATAAAATATTTACCTATACTAAAAATTAGACATATACATGTAATATCTGTAAGAGGATAAGCTCTGTGATTTCTTTAAAACATTGCAAGTTAGATATCTGAAATATGGTAAAAAGTCCTAAATACTTGCATCAGAGCTGACTAGGATCTTAAACCAGTAAAAAAAAAATAAATGTTGATTTCATTGACTTTGTTCTTCTATAAACAGATTGTGTTTTGTTACAGTTGTTTCCTTAGAGAAAAACACAACAGGCTATGTCAGCAAACTGCTTGTGATGCATCTCAGAGACTAAACGAGGTACAGTAGATGGAATAAAAAGGCAACTAACATAATAAGCTACTCTCACAATAAACTATAATAACATAAAAAATGAAACATACTTTGCTTAGTAAATTAATAAATTCGTACAAATGTTTTAGTAGATATAAAATTTGTATCAGTTAAAATTGCTAATATTCTGTTGCCATTATAGATAAGGCAGATCCCACTATCAGTCTATATTAAAGACAGTACATTAAGAGTATGAAAAGTGGCGAGACAACGGGGAAACTTTGAACATGTGCTATCTTATAAATACCAAACATGCTGTTTTGTAATGGGAGTGCCTTTCCATCACTTCAAAGTGATTTTATTATTGATCCGGCAGAATTTTAGCTGCTTGAAGGCGTTTGGCTTTTACAGTAGAGAACCAGAAGCCAGAGTCTTGCTTACTAGGTTAACTGCTAATTCAGAGGTTCTTGAAGGGGAAAGGAGAAAGGGGAAGGGAAGTACAGGAGGAATATCAAGAAATAGCAGGTATGCAAATCATGCTTTGGGATTCCAGCGGAGGGTTGAGAGAGTCTAAAATAACATTGTACTCATTAAGCAGCTTCCATCTTGTCCACTGAAAAAAACCCTAAATTTGTGGGGAAAGCTCATGATCAAAGTTCATCTTTTCATACAGACAAGAGGATCAAATTAAGAGAGCATGAATAAATCTGGTTTTGCCAATTTGTGTGCGTACTGAACCTTGCAAAGCTATTAAAGGGGTTTTTTTTGCTTTTTCTTTTTAGCTTTTATGTATATATAATTAATCCCTGTATGCAAATGAAGCACTGTCTGGATATGAAGCATTGATACTTTTTACTGTTATATTTTGTCATATTGCTAATGGGTCTATTTTTTGTTACATATTTTATATATTTTAGCCAGTTAGAAGTCACATTTTTAATTTTAACTACTATGACTTAAATTCTTTAATATTCCAGTGGAAGACACTTCACAAAAAATGGTCCAAAATTCCAGAGAAAATAAAAGATTTTTAAAAATAAGCATTGCCTTTGGCTAGGGAGATGGAGTAGATGCAATGGAATAGAGCTCCCTTGTATCCTATCGTTTCTGTGATTCTGTGCTACTGGTTCTGCACTGATTGAAAAGAATGTTTTTCCTATCTAGGATTATATCGGTGCAAACCTTTTTGAGTAAGGGAATTAGTCTTCTGTGATTATATTCGATATAATAATAATAATAATAATAATCATCATCATCATCATCATCATCCCCTTATTTAACTTAGCTTCAGGAGACCTTTGGCTTTTTTTTTTTTTTTAATTGAACAGAAATAGCTAATAAAGATGGAAAGTATGTCTGAAATATAAGTGCACCTAAATAATAGTACCTATGTAGATGGTAAAGCTGCAAGTCTATTGATGTTGGGCTACAGATGTCTAATGTCAGCAAAATTGCCATGGATTAGATTTTAAAGTTCTATTTGTATAAACCTGAACACTTTCAAAGACATTACATCAATTGATCAAGGTTTATCTAAATTAAAACCAACATGTGGGTGACACTGTTGTGGGTGTTTACTACAGGCTGCCTGATCAGGAAGAGGAAGTTGATGAGGCCTTCTACAGACAGCTGAAAGTAGCCTCATGATGACAGGCCCTGGTTCTCATGGGGGACTTCAACCGCCTTGATATCTGCTGGAAAGACAACACAGCTAGGCACATGCAGTCCAGGAGGTTCATGCAGAGCATCGATGATAACTTCTTGACACAGGTGGTGGGGGAGCCAACGAGGAGAGGTGTGCTGCTGGACCTTGTACTAACAAACAAAGAAGGACTGGTTGGGGATGTGAAGGCTGAGGGCAGCCTTGGCTGCAGTGACAATGAGATAGTGGAGTTCAAGATCCTGTGTGGAGGAAGCAGGGCAGTAAGTAGGATTACAACCCTGGACTTCAAGAGAGCTAATTTTGGCCTCTTCAAGGACCTACTTGGAGGAAGCCCATGGGTTAGAGCTCTGGAAGGTTGAGGAGCCCGAGCTGGTTAATATTCGAGCATCACTTCCTCCAAGCTCAAGATCGATGCAATCGACATCAAGCAAAGGGGCAGGAGACCTGCATGGATGAGCAAGGAGCTTCTGGAAAAACTCAAACGGAAGAAGGAACTTTACGGAATGTGGAAAAGGGGACAGGCCCCTTGGGAGGAATATGGGAACGTTGTCAGAGTATGCAGGGATGCGGTGAGGAAGGCTAAGGTCCACTTGGAATTAAATCTGGGAAGAGATGTCAAGGACAACAAGAAGGGCTTCTTCAAGTACATCAGTAGCAAAAGGAAGACTAGGGAAAATGTGGGCCCACTGCTAAATGAGGTGGGTGCCCTGGTGACGGAGGGTACAGAAAAGATAAGAGTTACTGAATACCAACTTTGCTTCAGTCTTTACTGCTAAGGCCAGCCCTCAGGAATCCCAGGCAGGAGAGAAAGTCTGAGAAAGGAAGACTTTCCCTTGGTCGAGGAGGATCAGGTTAGAGATCATTTAGGCAAACTGGACAGCCACAAATCCATGGGCCCCGATGGGATGCACCCACGAGTGCTGAGGGAGCTGGCAGATGTTATTGCTAAGCCACTCTCCATCATCTTTGAAAGGTCATGGAGAACAGGAGGGGTGCCTGAGGGCTGCAGGAAAGCCAATGTCAGTCCAATCTTCAAAAAAGGCAAGAAGGTAGACCCAGGAAACTACAGGCCAGTCAGCCTCACCACCATGCCTGGAAAGGTGATGGAACAGCTCATTCTGGACGTCATCTCTAAGCATGTGGAGGAAAAGGTTATCACGAGTAATCAACATGGATTCACCAAGGGGAAATCATGCTTGACCAATCTCACAGCCTTCTATAATGGCATGACTGGATGGGTAGATGAGGGGAGAGCAGTGGATGTTGTCTACCTTGACTTCAGCAAGGCTTTTGACACTGTCTCCC